TCCCACCGCCACCGCCGCCGCCGCCTCCGCCTCCACCGCCGCCATCGACACCTCCACCCCCACCACCACCCCCACCGCCACCCCCACCCCCTCCACTGCCTCCACCGCCGCCTCCACCGCCCCCGCTAGCTCCTCCAGTGCCCCTGCCCCCCTTGCCCTTGCCAGGGCGGCGTCTCCCGCTAGGGGTAGACGCCGCACCGACCGACTCAAGCCCAACGAGGTCGGCCGCAGTAGCAGAGGCAACAGAGGGCAAAAGGGGGGAGGGGGAACACCCCTCAAAGATGGGGGTGCGAGGGTCACCACGAGAGGCTCCTACAGCTACTATGCTCTTCTCTGCTGCTAGGAGGGACTTCTCGAGGAGGTCAACGGTGAGAGTGGTGGGGCAAACTGAGAGGAAGTGGTCCCTGACTACGCGAAGGGAGTCAGGGAGCCGGGTGACTATGTAGTAGAGGGTGATGTACATGGGGGGGGGGTTCTTGGCGCAGAACTCAGCAGGAAGCCCAGCGCGGTAGCGAGTGTCACTAGTGCGGAGGTGCGTAATGAGGTCAGCGACTGTGGGAAAGGCAGCAAGGTCAGGGAAGAGGTACGGTAGCATGAGGCGGCTCGGTGCAGCAGTGGCAGGGGAGGAGTAGCGCGCAACTACAGCGTCGTACAAGGTGTGAGCACTCTTGTACTGGCTAAAGTGCGCACGCTCAGAGGTAGGCAGGTGGCGACGCACAGCAAGACGTGCAGCAGCATCGCGCGTGGCCCACTGTGAGCGAACAGTGGCGTCAGCATCAGCAGCGGGGGCAGGAGAGGCACCAGAAGTGAGGTCAAAGAGGGAGAGGCCGTCTGCTCTGTCGCACTGTAAGAAAAGCTGCAGGTCATCTATCCAGACGTCAAAGTCAATGGCCCGACCCTCAGCGTCAAAAGCGAGGACACTAGGGGTAGCCATGACAGCAGTAGACTAGCAGCGCAAACAGTAGGGTGAGGGCAGTGCTGTGAAAGAGGCGCTGCTCTTACCGGACAGGGCGGCTCGGGTGGTTCGGCTGCAGGGCGGCTCGGCGGCTCGGCTGCTGGGCGGCTCGGCGGCTCGGCTGCTGGGCGGCTCGGCGGCTCGGCTGCTGGGCGGCTCGGCAGCTCGGCTGTTGGGCGGCTCGGCGGCTCGGCTTCTGGGCGGCTCGGCTGCTGGGCGGCTCGGCGGGGCCGCTGAGAGGGCGGCGTCCGGGGCCGCTGGGAGGAGGCGGCGGGGCCGCTGAGAGGAGGCGGCGGGGCCGCAAAGGTAGGTGGCGGGGCCGCAGGTAGGTGGCGGGGCCGCTAGTAGGTGGCGAGGCCGCAGGTAGGTGGCGGGGCCGCTGGTAGGTGGCGGGGCCGCAGGTAGGTGGCGGGGCCGCAGGTAGGTGGCGGGGCCGCTGGTAGGTGGCGGGGCCGCAGGTAGGTGGCGGGGCCGCAGGTAGGTGGCGGGGCCGCTGGTAGGTGGCGGGGCCGCAGGTAGGTGGCGGGGCCAGCAGGAAGGTGGCGGGGCCGCACAGGTAGGTGGCGGGGCCGCGGGGAGGTGGCGGGGCCGCTGGTAGGTGGCGGGGCCGCAGGTAGGTGGCGGGGCCGCACAGGTAGGTGGCGGGGCCGCACAGGTAGGTGGCGGGGCCGCGGAGGGCGGCGACGAGCCGTAGGGGGCTGTGAGGGGCCGTGGGAGGGGCCGTAAGGGGCGTAAGGGGCCGCGCGAGGGGCCGTAAGGGACAGCGCGAGGGGCCGTAAGGGGCGGCACGAGGGGCCGTAAGGACGGCGCGACGCGCGCGACGGGCCGTAAGGGCGGCACGAAGGGCCGTAAGGGCGGCGCGAAGGGCCGTAGGGGCGGCGCGTCGAGCCGTGAGAGGGCCGCTAAGGGCGACGCGACGGGGCCGTGAGGGGCCTAGCGAGGGCGCGACGGTAGGGAGAGCACACAGGGCGCGTCTCGGGCCGGAGCGAAGCGCGCTCCGGGCAGGAAAAAAAAATTTCGTGGTGGTGGGCCCTAGGAATCGTTCCCACTAGGGAACCTGCTCGATACCATGAGAAGAAACGAGGAATGAAATGGCTAAGGGAAAGTTTGGTACAAATGCAAACCCTAGGAAAACTGTACCCCATATGTGCTACCCCACTATAGCCTACAGTAGCTATGTCATATAAATCTGACACCCTCCTCTTGCTGGATCGTGTTTGGGGTTTCTGAGGAAGGCGTTTGCAGATTTAACAACGGTGTAAAGCATGGTGGTCTGCCAAATGCTGCCTAAGATGTCCGCTAAAAGCTAGTTTATGAATGATGTAGCAGCTAGTTTAACATGCCTCTCAAATTAGTTTCTCCTAACAGCTATAAGCGGATCGAAGATCTCGCTCGCCATGCTGCTGCTTGGTGTGAGTTGGTGGTATGCTGATGGTGTTGGAGACGTGGTTGGAATTCTGAGAGCACGGTTTGCATTTCGTTTTTCCAGCGCTGAACCCCCTGGTGCATTTTTTTATCCTCCTCTATAGGTTTGCGCGATTCGTTAAGCCCCTGCCTATGGGGCGCGAAGTTGAGCAGGTAAATTCGTCATTTACCGTCGGCACCTTCCGCCCCTGCTCTCGAAATTTCCCGCTTTCGGTTGTAGCGGGGGGGGGGGGGAGGGGGTGATATCAACGGGGAAACTGCTTAGGAACCCTCGTCATTTACATTCGCCCCCCCTCCTCCCCGTCACGGCGGCCCTGTTCGATAGGCTAACACATTTCAAAAGGCGAGGGTTAGGCTAGTGTTAAGGGGAGTGCTCAGCGCAACTTCCCCTAGCTGACCGACCGAACATCCCAATCGGAAGCCCCGCCCCTTGAGGGCGGAAGGAGCGGGGCCCTGATGGAGATACTGCTCGCCCCCTTCCACCACGGGCATCGCGGGCTGGGATGAAAAAATTGGATCGCTCGCTAGAGGAGTCTGGGTAACAATATCGAAAAACAAAAGGCCTCCCCCACAAATCACATGCCCTTGGATCGATCTGGTTTTCAGTTGGCAGATTGTTTTTCGAGCAGTTGGGTCCAGCGGTTTTGTTTTCTGGGTGCACGGCTTGGGTATCCCTCCCACTGTTAGCATCCTGAAGTGGCCCCGCTAGTTAGCTGGTTCACTTCCGAAAGATGAGGTCCCGAGATCAAATCCCCCCTGCGGCGTTTACAGCCAGTCCACACTAAAAGGGACTACACAGGTGCTCATCTAGGGGTGGATAGAACAACCTCGTTACCCATCGAGACGTGTAAACACATGGGGAGGCGGGTTACGACCGACAGACGGGGTAATACCAAAGGGGGTTTCCCCTATAACCCTTACCTTTACCTTTACCCTCCCACTGTTAGCCCTTGACGAGCCCTTTCGCAAACCCCACTTTGGGGGGGCGAGGGTTAGGCTAGGTGAGGGCTAAATTATTGCCCGTGCGAGAAGGACCCTGGATCTTTCTGAGAGGGCTAACGCTTCTTGTCTGGGATCAGGCATGTCGAAGTTGATGGGGCCCATACTTGCGCTCCCCAGCTCCCCTCCCCATATGACACTGTTTTGGGTGTAGCTGAGTGTTTAGGCGCCCTTAACGGTCACGGGCGCCCCCCCAAGTGAAAATTTGAGATCCGGGCTTGTGAATAGTTTGCACTTACACTATCTTATCGGACCCTAAGGGAAATTCGGGTGCTCCAAACCTAACTTAGACACTTTACTAACACGTTATTGGCTAGAAACGCTGGAGGACATTCCACTTGGCGCGCTCTCGTGCAACCTAAGGAGAAAGGGAGGGGGGGGGGGGGGGGTCAGGCAGAATTGGGGGGGGGGGGGGGGGGGGGGGGGGTCCTACAACCGGAACCCAAAACTTTGAGACAGGGGAAGGCCTGGTTTGGGCCCATAACGCATCCGGGGAAGGATCAAACGAGGCACTTAGTGGCACGGGTGCAGTGCGAATCTAACACTTTATGCAGTCGAGCTGGAGCAAGAGTAGTCCGGAATGTTCAGGGCATTAAGGGAATACACCCTTGAATCGACAGGCATGTCTGGGATGCGTTAGATAGGCTAACACCCTGCATTCAGGTTCCAGAGCATTAAAGCCATTTGACACCAATTTACGGGCTGACCGTGGAAAAAATACCGAAATCGAAACAGCCGCGAGGATTCCGCGAGCGTCGGTGTTAGCCTATCGAACAGGGCCAGCATGTGCCTACACGGTGCCCGTTTGACTAACCCAAGGTTGCCTTGTGAAGAGGGCTTTTAAGTGATTCTGAGCATTTCACAAATTTCGTCAACGTCGCACCTAGCAAAAAGGGGCTTATAACATTTTTGTAACTCCCCGTTGACATTTTGACTTCGGTCTCTTCCGTGTGACTTATTTTTCTGTGGTTCGTATTGGCTCATAACCACTTGCTCGAGGAGCTTGTAATATGGGTGCAACTGGCTGGTAAAAAAAACACGGGTGCAGACTTTCTATTTTGGGAAGGGCAAATTCGCGCGCAGGGGTTGAGCATCTTGTGTACAGAACCTTGGGATGTGCACATTCCTCCTCGAGTTTATCTGAGCACACATTCCTCTTCGAGTTAGTCTGAACCAGCTTTGACATTGTCCGAACCGCCAAACGAAATCACCACAGATATTACCGACGTGGATTAATTATTGTCAGCATCTGCCAGATGTCTCATCCATGGCCACCACCACATCCCCTCACCACCACTTCGCCCCGCAAGTTTACTCAGCAAACAGGCGATCACACCCACAAGGCTCAAAAGCTGGATTCCTGGCCGATGGGGAACGAACGAGGAACGCGACTCGGTGAGGATCTCTTTTCAAGTCAACCCAAGGCGCGAGCGACTCCCTTATTTTGCCCTGTCCCTACCCCTCCCCTCCCCTTAGTGCCCTGTCTACCAACTACAAAATGCACCAAATCCGTCATTGATAAATTTACAGCTTCTCGTTCTGCATCCCGTGCTAGCAATACTCACTCTGCAGCCAACAGCAGTTCCTCACAACTTGCTGAATCGATCCGCACACGATCAGAATGGCTGCTGTTGCCGCTTCCTCCCTCGCCGCCAAGGCCCCTGCCGCCGCACTGGCACAGACTGGGTTGACTTCCTCATCCAGCTCCGCTCTTCCCGGCTTTTCCGGACTCCGGGCCTCACCTCCCGTCAAGGCCGCCAAGAAGACCAGCTGCGCGCGCGGCTGCAAGTGCGCGCGCCATGCCGTCGTCGTGCGCGCCGCTGCTGAGTCCAACGAGGCGTCCGAGCAAGCTCTCTTCGCCAGCGTCAGCCAGTCCGTCGCCGCTCCCGCTGCTCCCGCCGCCAACTCCGGAGTGATCGTCCCGTCGATTCTCGGCGCCGGTATTCTTGGCGGCGCTGCTCTCGCGCTCCTTTCCAAGAATTCCGTCCCCGCCGCTTCCGCCGCTGCCGCCACTCCACCTGTCACCTTCGACGGCGGCTACGTCCCCCGTGCCAAGCGTGCCGCACCGGCCGCGCTGGCAACGATGGCGGCGACGTTTCCGAACGCGATGCAGGAGGAGACGTTCATGCGCGCCGTGGCGGCGGAGCTCTACAACCTCGGCTTCAAGCGCGACAACTGCATCGCGCTGGTGAACACTTGCCGCGACGAGGTGTGCCGGCCGATCGTGAATCTGATCGACCGCGAGTTCGGCATGAGCTTCAACATCGCCGGGCTGGGCGGGCTCGTGAACTGCGGCAAGACGGGGTTCAAAGCCGCCATGAGCCACTCGCCTGAGTTCCCCTGCGACAAGAGCGGCAAGCCCAAGGAACGATGTAAGTACATGAACCTGTTTCCAACGTCCAAATGTGTACTTACAGAACGCGACGGAATGAAAACGAAAGCAAACAACAAGAAATCATGGGTCTTGGACTCCACGCTCAACAACAAAACGGGACAATGGTGTCGTCATGTTTTTCCGACTCACGCTCGCTCCTCGTGTTCCCTTTCGTCCCTTTCCAGACATTTTCTTCGGCTTCCCCCACGTGTCCATTGGCGAGACCGGCGAGGTCGGCTCGCTGCTCCGTCGCGGTCGCGGCAAGCCGTCCAACGCGTGCGGTGCGCTCATCGCCATCCGCGGCGACATTTGCGCTGGCGGTCCCATCGTTGAGGATCCCGACAACGCCGAGTACATTCTTCTAAAAAAGAAGGTCGCGTCTCGAGTTACCACCGACGAGCCCAACTTGGTGCAGGTCACCCGCGCCGCGCTACAGGCTATCACGGACGACCTCGAGTACCTTATCTCTCAGACCGTAGACCCCGCGACTGCGGATTACGCCGTTATTACGGGTGTTCAGATTCACTCGGGGAACAACCTCCCTGGCGAGCCGTTCCAGACGGAGCGCCTCTGTGACTACATCGCCCCCAACGCTATGTACGCCGTGATCAACGGCGAGAAGCACATTCTCCACTGCGAGATCAACCAGATCAGCGCCATCAAATCGGTCCCCGCCAGTCAATTTGCTTAAGCTGGCGTCAGCACAAGGAGCAGTTAGAGGTTAAAGTTAGTACCTTCGTAGTTTTTCCACTCAATGAGTGCTCGCGTTTGTAAATAATTCTGGTAGTGCTGTGTGTCCTGGCGATATCCCACACTCGCATGTCCTGGATGCCGTTTTTCCTCCAACATGCACCGAAACCAGGATTCTTTCCTACTGATGAGTTCATTCTATCAAGCGCATACCGTATCCAACATCACTCCTTTCTCTGATCGCATGTGCCATTACTCCTACGTGTCCAATGACTTACATACATTTCTCGCAGCTTCCACTTCCGTTTTCGCAGCATAAAACCTGCATAGCGCAAACATGGAGTAGAACGATCGATATACCTACATGAGATAAAGAAATCGGAACGTGGAATAACCATTTCTATCTTAGTCTGGACTCTTCTAAAGTTGACATTTAAGTGGCGGGAGAGGAAAGGTGAACTAAGTAGATTTCGCCCAGCTTTGCGTGACACCTCCAGGAGTTTTAGCTGATTCAGCCATTTCTTTATTAGCCCTCGCTGACCTTTCAGCCTTTTATTGCGAGTGTACGCAGAGACTATGATGGGAGGCACACGAGCGAGACGACGTTTCAAGTAACAATGATAGAAACACCCTACCCAATGCCACTTCATCCACACTGGGTTCTGTTCTGAAGCCTGACAACGACATTTCAAGTGTCTTTCGCCCTTGTCCCTCCTTTCTTTGAACTCCTAACTTTTCGCTCTCCATCTCCTCTCCCCCCCTGCTCTTCACCACCCTTGCTCCCTCCATCACCACCAACACCACCACCACCACCATCACCACCACTTGCCACCGCCCTCCCACGCCCATCCCCCACAGCCCCCCCTTCACCCCGTTCGAGCACGAGCAGGAGGCCGAAGTGGTCACTGGGCAGCAGAGGCAGGTCCACCATGGTGGGCTGGCCCTTTACGCGCCGCTGCTTCGAGTACGAGCCCCCGGGGATGGGGTGCGTGCCGAGGAGGGAGAGGGAGTGCAGGTGCAGGTGGTGCAGGCGCAGCCAGCAGCGGTCCAGGCGCAGGCGCAGGCGGCCCCCTGCCAGCATGGGGTTCACCCGACTGTCGTATGTGAATCCCGCCTGCTAAGCCCTCAGGGGCCAGTGGGGAAGCATGGGGGGGTGAGGTGGGGGGTTGGATGGGGGCGTGAGGTCGGGATTTGAGCTGATGCTGAGCAGCGCATGAGAGGTAAGGCAGCAATGCGGTGCACGCCTGACGCAAGGCAGAGTGGAGAGAGAGGCGAGTGAGTGCAGCAGCGGGGACTCAAGCTAGTCCTGTTCTGCAGTTCCCTTCCCTACCCATACGGGTGCTCACCTCACGGGGGTGCAGTTGCACCCATGCATCCACCCACCCCTGTGGCATGGGCACATCCCCATCGCGCTTATCATTCCAGTTCATATCCCCACAGAACACCACGTCTTCCATCTCCCCACCGCCCTCCCCCTCTCCACTCCGCCTCCCATTCCCCGCACCACTCTCTTCCCGCGCGCGCTTTTTCCCCGCACCCCGCTCCCGCCACTGGTGGGAGTGGAGCAGGCGGAGCGCCTCTGCAGCTTGCTGCACGCGCTGGGGGGAGAAGTGCTGGTCCCACATGGGGGGCGCAGGGCATGGCGACTCCAGGTGACTCGTCGCCACCGTCAGCACACACGGGGGCGCAGAGGAGGCGGGGGAGGCGAAAGGGGGGAGGTGGAAGGAGGTGATGAGGAGTTGGCGGCCCATGATGGAGTTGGCGAAGGGGTGCACGTGCTGCAACTGCACTGCCAGGCGCGATAGCTGCTTGCAAGGTCACAGGGGGGGTGGGGGGCGAAGGGGCGTGGGTTGAGATGGGTCACTGTGACGTCTGAAATAGATTAGTAGAAAGAGAGATTCATAGGGGTGCACATGCAAGCAAGCAAGCACACACAGCTGTATTGTTGCCCTCAATCAAAGTCATTGCTATGTGAAATTATAGCAGCTAAGTGGTTATCACACGCATCCACAGAGGGATGAGTGGAGCAAGGGTCATGATGGGTCGTATGGCATGGACCTATGTGAGAACCACATGACCCTTGTGAGAACCTCACAAGGGTGGCATGGACACATGCGAGGTGCAGTGTGGCATGTGGAGCTATGCGCATGGGATGGGGCGCATGAGGGCATGTGTGCGGATGCGATGGCAGCAGGGCATGGCAGGGAGGGGTGGGGGCAAGCACGATGAGGCAGAAGTAGGGCGGCATGTGGCGGTCGTGCAGGGGCGAGCAGGGGCGGTACTCCGTGAACCACGGCTGTGAGGAGAAGAGCTCCACGATGCTAGGCGTCACCTCCTGGGCCATGGCAGCGCAGGGACGGGTGTGGGGAGGGCCACAGGGAGGGGTGCGGGAACAAGAGAGTGGTAGGAGATGAGGAGGCGGTGGGATGCAAGGCTGGAAGAACGCTGGAAAGTGGTAGTGGAAGAGAGCAAGCGAGTGCAAGAGACTGTGCTCCCTGCATGCACCAAAGTCACCTCATTCCTTGCACCCACCCACACCCTTCTTGCTCCCAATTTTGCTTGCCTAGGGCCGGCGTTGACATGGCACAGCACGGCTCGACACAGCATGGTACGATACGGCACAGCATGGTACGATACGGCACCTGCAGGCAGACGACATGGGGGCGGTCGTGGTGGATGGCAGTGCCTATGGCGGCCATGCGGTGCTGCAGTGCTGCCTCCTCGTTGAACCACACGTTCCACGTCATGATGCTCACCCTCGTGCTCGCACTCCCACTCGTGCTCGTGACGCCTGCTCATCAGGGGGAGGGAGAGGGGGGAAGGGGGCGGAGGCGGGAGGGAGGAGCGAGCGGGGACGGGAGGGAAAGTGGGACAGAGGGAGAAGGGAGTGATGAGGGGCATGAGGAATGAATGGGTGGAGGGCAGTTGTTGATAGGGGGCGTGTGGTGAGCGGAGTGGAGGCATGCAGCAGCACGCGCCGGCACCATGCACCACACCCTCCTCTCACTCTCACACTGCCCACCCCACCCCTCCCCCATGGGCGCTGCACAAAGGCTATCTGGCCCCACCCCACTGGCACACCTCTGCTACCACGCCCTTGCTGCCCTTTGCCCATTGGGATGAGCGAGTGGGCTTTGCAGCAGGTAGCAGTGGGAGCAGTGCACGTGCAGAGGAGGGGAAGGAAAGTGGGGCTCATAGCACACACACCTGGTTCCTTCTCCTTGGCTCTCTCCGGCTCCTGCTCATCCTGCTTCTTCTTCTCCTCCTTCTCCTCTTTCACCTTGTGTGTATGTGTCCTGCTCTCACTGCCACCCCTCGCCCCTGCACTCGTCTCGTCCCGGCCCTGTCGCTTCACCCTCGCCTCGTGCAGCAGTCGCAGCCACTCGTTCCCAGACTTGCCCTCCGCCCCCCTCCCCACCTCCCCACGTTCTTCCCCTCTTCCCACCCCCCCATCCTCCCCCGTCTCCTTCTCCCCGCTCCCCCTCTCCCCCGCCCCCCCATCGCGCATCTCCTCCACCTTCAACCCTCCGCTCCCCTCCCCCTCCGCCCCGCTCCCTCCCTCGCTCCCCCTTTCCGCCCCCAAAGCAGCCTCCCCGTCGTTGCTGCCCCTGTGCGCGGGGGGAAGCTGCGCGCAGTCAGGCAGAGGGAGGTGAGGGGGGGAGGTGGGGAAAGGACAGGGTGGGGCAGAGACAGGGCAAGGCAAGGTCGTGGCGCTATGGGTTACGAGGACCGACGGAAACAGCTCAGTACGTCAGGGTTTGACACGGTACAGAGCGGTACCGAGTCGCAGGCAGCGCAGCGAGCAGCAGCGGCTTCGTTGAGGAGAGTACACACGCCGCACGCCCACGCCGCATCGCGCTCCTCCGCCGCCACGTGGCGCTCCTCCGGGACTCTCTCGTCCACGTCATCGTCGTCGAGATCCACGTGTGCGCGCCGGTAGCCGCACACGGCGCACTCCGCCTCGCGCCACGACGCCGCAGGGGAAGCGGGGGGGTTGGCGAAGGTGCAGCGCGGGCAGTCCCAGGCGGAAGCCATTCGAGCGGAGATAGAGCGACGCGGCCAGGTGGTGCTGACGTGGCGACGATCCGAACGCACTGCGAGGGCGACGTCTCTGCGATCGTGCGATCGCTGCGCGGGAAACTGCTCGCTGCGGGCCGCGTTGCAGACGGGCCCCGTCGTGGAGAATCCCGCTGTAGGATCGCGCGACTGGAGGGGCGCGGCGCGGCGAGACGAGGCGAGGCGAAGCGAAGCTGCGGTGAGCGGTGGGATTCGAATCCAACGTGCAGCCCACATGAGACTTGCTTGGGATGCTCGTGACACTCTCGAGGTACTGTACTCGGACCTCTCCCGTTCTAGGAGTCCGTTCGAACGATACCCTGGTGCCTTGAGAAAGGTTGAAAACCAGGACTGTATTCAGCCCTCGAAAATATTTCGAAGCAATCGATATGCTCTCGGTAATATGGAAACTCGGCGACCCCACAAAGAGAATATTTTTATTGACACTTTGGGGGTGCATTTGCGAGTCTGATACAACCCCGAAAACTGACACTATATATTACGTTACCCCCTTGAAGAACAGTTCTCCATTGCTTCCACCCCCCCCCTTCCCTCCCCCGAAAAAAAACCCCGAATCATCTGCACCCATGAAATTTGTGTTTGGAAACCACAACCCGTGTTTCATAGGCACGCATAGCAGCTCCTCGACATTTCGAGTGTATCAAACCAGCCTACCCTGATCTGTCGGGGTTGAGCGGGCGAGTTGTCGAGGGTGAGGTGTGGGCCATCCAGCTCGCCTCAAGCAAGGGAGCATCGCGGGCCCCATCATTACGCACTGGACCCGCAACACCTGTTACCATTTCATGCACCGTTCCCCCATGCGTCACTGTCCTTCCGCCCTGCCCTTGCGCCTCATCCGCGCGCTGCCCCGCCCCGCGCCCGGCGCTATTGCGCCCGCCGTCACGGGTTGAGCGCTCACAGCATTCTCCCGCCGTTCTCCCCGCCAGCCGCGTTACAACCGCGCGATCCCCGCGTTCCCCGTATCCCGTGCCCCGCTCCGCTCCGCGGCCGGGTCGTTCTAGCCCCTGCGCGCGCGCCGCTGAGTTTTCGGCGCCGTGCGCACGTTCCGCGGGAAGAATTTCGCGCGAAAGGCTCCGCGCTGCAGATCCCGCCAAGGTCCCGCGCTCTCCGCTGCATCGCGTTCCCCGGAGGACGGGGGCGAGAGGCGGAGCGGCGTGAGCGCGCGCAAGAGCAGCATGGGCGCGGGCACGCAGTACTACGTGGCCGTGGACCAGGCGCGCTTCAAGCTGGTGCGCGCGCCCACCTCTTAGGGCGAGGTGGGGGGGGAGGGAAGGGAGGCGTGTATGTGGGGGAAAGAGGCGTGTGGAGGAATGGCATTTATCCTTTTTTTGCGTCATGGCATGGGCACGGGCATGGCATGGCTGACGAGGTTCGCTGACCCCATGCTATTATTGCCTGGCTGTGTGGCCGTGCTGCTGTGCTGCTGTGCATGACAGGCAACGCTCGTGGACCTGCTGCACCTCATCAGCCGCACCATTCCCGCTGCCGCCTCCCCCGCTCCTCCTCCTATTCCTCCTTCCCCCCCCTCCCCCTCCCCATCGCCCTCCTCATCCCCCTCCCCCTCCCTCTCCTCCGCGCCCACTGCTGCGCCACGGGTGGCGGCAGTATCAGTGGTGATCTGCTGTGGCACGCGCGACTCTCTGGACCACGTGCTCGCTGCTCTCTCGCCTCTCCACCACCGTTTCCTCCTCGCCTCCCTCGTACGCTCCCTCACACGCCACTGCTCCTGCCCTCCTCTCATCCTCCACCCTTTCTCCCTCCCTCACCCGCCTTCCCCACCTCTTCCTCCACTGGTGTTCCCTTGCCTTCCCCATCGCCCTCCCGCCCAACCCCCCTATCCCCTCCTCCTTCTTACATCTCCATCATTCCATATATCTCTCATTGTGCACAGCCAAACTCACACGCATACTAGCTGCACAATCCACGGCCCTCTCGTAGCATCTCCATCTCTCTCCACATCTCTCTCTCTCTCTCCATCCCGCCCGCACAGCACAGTGACCAGTCGGACGCCCAGCGCCGGGCAGTGCTGGCAGCCTTCCATGCCGCCGTGGCTCTCTCCAGAGGCCTGCCCGCCCCGCCCCTCGCTCTGCCACTCGGCCCCCACCCTGCCCACTCGCTGCCGTCCGCTGCCCCTCCCTCACATGGGCCGCACCGCACACATGGAACCCCTGCCTTCATGTCCCCACCCGCCCATGCGCCTTGGCTGCACAGCCGCGTGGGTGAGGGGGGAGGGCAGGCAGCAGAGGTTGCAGAGCGGCGGGAGGAGGGAGGGGAGAGCGGGGGGGAGGAAGGGAAGGGGGGGCAGGGCGGGGTGGTGCCGGTGGTGGAGGTGACGGATGCGTGCTTGCCGTGTGGCCATGGGGGGGGAGAGGCGCCTCTGGGCGCACGGCTGCTCATCAACTATGACTTCCCCCCACGCAAGGTGCCTTGATGCCCTGCACGCATGCATACATGCACGCCACTGTGCAGGTGACGTATGGGGCGAAGCATTTTCACCCATCCGTCCGTCCATCCATCCATCCATCCATCCATCCATCCATCCGTCCGTCCGTCCGTCCGTCCGTCCGTGCGTCCACCCGTCCGTCCGTCCGTCCGTCCATCCGTCCGTCCGTCCGTCCGTCCGTCCATTCATCCATCCATCCATCCATCCATCCGTCCGTCCGTCCGTCCATCCATCCATCCATCCATCCATCCATCCATCCATCCATCCATCCATCCATCCATCCATCCATCCATCCATCCATCCATCCATCCATCCATCCATCCATCCATCCATCCATCCATCCATCCATCCATCCATCCATCCATCCATCCATCCACCATCCATCCATCCATCCATCCATCCATCCATCCATCCATCCATCCATCCATCCATCCATCCATCCATCCATCCATCCATCCATCCATCCATCCATCCATCCATCCATCCATCCATCCATCCATCCATCCATCCATCCATCCATCCATCCATCCATCTATCCATCCATCCATCCATCCATCCATGCATTCAACCACCCACTTGCTACATGTATGTGCCTCTCAGCCTCCCTCCCTCCCTCCCTCCCTCCCTCCCTCCCTCCCTCCCTCCCTCCCTCCCTCCCTCCCTCCCTCCCTCCCTCCCTCCCTCCCTCTCTTCCCTCCCTACTTGCTTGCCTGCCTCCCTCCCTCCATGGATCCCTACGTGCATGACAAGGCATGGCAAAGAAAAGCTTCATCTGTTTCCACTGTTAAGTCATCCACCCCTCCACTATTCTTCCCGCCCACCTTCCCCCCCACCATCCCCCCCTTACCCTCCCATGCAGGACGTGTACCTGAGGCGAGTGGCCATGTGCATGGGGCAAGCAGCAGCAGCAGCCATGCAACGCCCTGAACCCTCTGCCAGCAGCAGCAGCAGCGCAGCAGGCATGTCGCTGCTGTTTGTGACGGGTGGGGAGGTTCCTGTGGTGCGCTCACTAGAGGACGCCCTGGGCACCTTGCTGCACGAAATGCCCATTGATGTGAGCTGCTGCCTTCCCCTGTCCACTCTTCTGGTCGACCCTGTGCCACTCCTGCACTTTAACCGCCCAAGCAACCACAGCTTATGCACACTGAATGCACTTGAAGCTTGCACGTCTACATGGAGAGTTTGTATGGTTAGCTGCGTGCTATTTGTGCGCAACCTAATCACTGCTCACTGCCCGTTTGTGCTTTTTTTTCCTTGGTTCGCAATTGCGTCAGGTGTGTGAAGCTCTGAAGCAGTGAGTGAGCACATTAGTCAGGTTTGCTCAAGGTCCTCCTTCAAGCAAGGCTCTCATGTCCAGGTGCTTGTTGCTTTAGTAGTTTCTTAGGTGTTTCTAGTGTAATTTCAAGCCGGAGTCTACATTTGCAATCCGTGCCTCCAAATGTTTTAAATTCGAGGTACGGTAGTGAAATGTCTCCAATCAGGACCCTGATTTTAATGCTGAGTTGTAGCGTTTACTTTTAACCATAAGGGTAATACCAGATGGTTCTGTGTTACAGGTGCAATCAGGCCTGTGGATAGGATTGGATGTGCTCTTACTCGAAAGGCCAGTTCGCGGAAGTTGGTCTTTCTGTAAGGGTGGGGCAGCCATGTCAGTCTTTTTTATCAGTGTATGTTGCAAAGTTACTCGTGCCCGTCAGTGTGCACATTGGTTAGTTAGTTAGTTAATACTTACCCTTTCTTGTTTAAGTATAATTTACGGTTGATTTTGCATGAAGTGTAAAATAAGAGACAAACCTGTTGGAATAACCGAAAGGTTATCGTAAACATTCCGAAGGCTCTCCACTCTCGCGTCACTTCATAACAAAGCAAGCGCCTGTATCAGTACCGCAATAGCTCATATAGAGCACGCGGAAGGTCGAGGGTCACCCGAAGGTCAACAGTCGAAGACAGTCAACGGTCGTGACCCTTGACTGCCCAGTAACCGCACAAGGCAGTTGCGAAGTGCAACGTGGTAACTGTCTAGGATTGCAATAGTCGTGGTTACTGTAGCAATGCAATTCAGTTAATAAGGGAATGTACCCCTCAGAGTACATGGTTAGCTAGGGTTGCTATTTATATCCATGTACTCCTATCTTATAATTATCTTGTTCTTTTCAATCTTATCAACAAGGTCATTACAGAGACTTCACAAGTTCTCTCCTATACTTAGCAGCTTTATCCTGTCCACTACGATCCTTCAGTTATAACAACATGGTATGAGAGCTAGAGTGGATTATAAGGACTGCTAAGATTCTCATTCTCCCTAGAACAACCTCTTTATAAATTACTCGTTAAACAATTACAAACTCTGCATCACTATGGCTCCTGAAAAGGGGACTGCAGATTCTCCGGGCCCACCACCAGCAACACCCACTGCACCATCAGCGGTGACTTCCGTCAGCGCCGCTCTCGTTGAGCAGCTGGTCGCCCGCATCAACGCTCTTGAGAGCCATCAAGCCATGAGCATCGATGGCTCGAGCTATGCACGAGGAGTTGCTGGACTCCCTCTCCCTGGAGAAGGCCGCCGCGTCAACTCCGAGAGGTCATTCACCTTCGACAACCGTCAAGCTTCAGCTCCTGCGCAAGACAGTCAACATCGCACAGAAACAATTGCGACAATGCAGACAAAGTTTGTTCTAACTTCAAAGCTGAAGACATCAGTTCCCTTCGACGGTAAGGACTTTTACACGTGGAGCTTCGAGTTCGAGCTCCTCGCGACAACCGCGCAAATCTGGATGTACTACGACGGAAGCTTAAAGTTTCCGACAGAGAGCACCATCCAAGAGAAGAATCAGTACTACCACGAGTCTCTTCTCGCGTACACCACCCTCCTCCGAAATCTTTCTCCCGCCGAACAGCTTGGCATTCGCTCCTACAAATCAGAGTGGGCACCCGCATACTCTTCTTGGGAGCACCTGCGCAACTCATACATGGCAACGTATCCCGTTACTATGAGTCGCCTACTCAGCCAACTCACATCGGTCAAAATGCAACAAGGGGAGAAGGCGGGACCTTACATCAATCGGTGCCACAATCTGCGCGACCACATCAAGAAGTGCGGCGGAACCGTTCCCGACGATATGTTCGTCTCTATGGTCCTTTCGGGCCTTGGATCTGATTGGAGACAGTGCCAGTTGTTGCTCCGTGCTCGAGCAACTGTCTCCGAGTCCGCCTTGTGCGCCACGCTGCTCTCCGAGCAAAAGGAAATCGACCTGTACAACGAGAAGAACACCAAGCGGGAGAAGTTAGTCTTCTACGTTGGAACAACTGAAGGGGAGCAACACGGCAAGAAAGGAACTTTCTGCAAATACTGCAAGAAGACTGGGCACACTATCGATCGGTGCTACAAGCGAAAGGCCGCCGACGAAAGGCGCAACAACATCGCCAGTCAGCAACCTTCGGCACCCTCGGCCTCTCCTGCTTCAACCTCAACCGTGTCACCACCTTCAGTGGCAAGCACTTCTCAAACTCCTGCGCGCATCTCCAACAAAGACAAAGGCAAGGGAACGATCATGAGCTGTATGGCACGGCGCCGCAGAGGCATTCGTTACTACGACAACATCGAATACCCGCCTATCGCGCCCATTAACCCCATTGCTCCCAGTCTAGAAAACGACCCTACTATCCACAGTTGGATCGACCGTCCAACCAACATCCCACCTGATTTCGAGCTGCCCCCGCCAACGCCGGAATCTCCTCCCAGCATTTTGGCGAACAGGTACTTCGCTCTCTCGCCATACTCTGGCGACTTCGATCGCGTCATTACACCGAAAATCGCCAACATCGCGCGACAGAGCCGCGAGAACATCAATACCTGGTAACTGGACAGCTGCTGCGGACAATACATGGTGGGATCACCAACGTTCATCAGCAACTCAAAACGCATGCGACGACCGTGCAAAATTACAGTTGCGAACAACAACACACTCAAAGCATACGACATCGGAGAAGTTTACCTTGAAGCTGATGACACCAAGTTCACCATCCACATCGGTGATGTGCTCGTAGCCCCAGATCTGAGTTACAACCTGCTCTCATCGGCTCAACTCATGCGATGCGGAGTCGACATTCGCAGCAACTGCAAGGACAAAGCCTTTGAGCTTTTCTACAACAACTCTTACATCGGCAAGGCGATTGACGATGACGGAGTCTTCGTCCTGCATTTCTCAGCCCAGGGCACCACTGGAGATTCAGACCGCACCTTACTGCTCAAAACAACTCCCTCGGAGCCGCCAACATGGTCGCATCCAACCGAAATGGACCTCGAGCGACCTGCCTCCGACGGTCTTCTTCGGATTCGCACCGTTCCAACAGCCTCGACCTCCAACCCAGCTGAGACCGGACCTGCATCAATGGAAGCAGACAGCGGCACGTCAGCACCTGCGGAACCTATCATCAAAGAAAGCGAAAAGGGTGAAACAGGATTGGGCAGTCCCGGTCCAACTGTCGGTCCATTAGGAGAAATTCGAACACCAGAAGAAGCAGCTGCAGAAGGACGGGGCACTATCTCGGCATCCGAAGGCAACGCCACTGCTCCAACAGATGCTGGCGCTGCCACCGGAGGCGATTGGGGAACCGGAGGCGGCTGGGGAACTTCAACAAGCGAAGGAGGATGGGGGCAAACTGCCCCTGCCTATCCGGAAGCTCCGGGACTCCCTCCTGCGGATACCGCGGCTGTCGACCCATACAGGGCAACACGTGGCACCAGCTGGGGCGGACCTCCTCTCCCGGATCAATACGCTCCTGACACACCAGAACCGATGCAAGAAGAATCAGAGGAAGAGGTAACTTATGAATTCTTCGAGGAAGCAGCAGAGTTACCAGAACCTACCGAGGAGCCCCGTCACCAGAACAAGGACCTCACCAGATAGAGGTCATCGGCGCCGAATACAGTTACTTCAGAATTCCCATGAAAGGCCTTCCCGTCTCCGACTGGCCCAAGCCACCTCCATCCCAGTATCTTCTCGTCACCGGCGAACAAGTTCACGTCGGCGACACCGACGACATCATCGGAATTCCCCACGCGCTTCTGGAACGAGACTCCACTCGGGCCTTCGCAACTGACACTGATGCCGCCACCGACATCGGACCTGAAAAGGAGCAGAACGACGCAGCAGAAAGGAACAAATACTATCAGAAGACAGTCGGGTACCGTGCGGAACCAGAAACATGGCACCAGCGACTCGGACACCCCTCGCACATCACGCTCAAGAATTCTCTAAAGGCCGGAGTCTTCGACGACGATGCGCTGCTTCTCCCTCGAGGCGGTTCTCTCACAGCAGAATCGGCTGACCTGCCCTGCACCGTGTGCCCAACTGCGTCACTCGCCCACAAACCTTGTCAGAATGTTATTGTTCTCTAGCCTGCAGTGGGGTACTCTATAGCGAGTACAACCCCCTAGGGTTTCCTATATGTATCCTGCTGCTTTCTAGTGAACACCCTCCTTTGCTTATTCTCTCTTGCCTAGCTAGGGCTTACCTAGCTATGGCTCCTAACTCTACCTACTATCTTCACAAACCTTTCCCGGACTTACCTCCCGGCTACGAACGCTACAAGCCGCTGGAGAAAGTCTACAGCGATTTCATGGTTTTAAGTCAAAGCGGGCTCGACAGCGAATCCTACACCCTCACCTTCATCGACGCTTCCACACGCTACGTTTGGGCAATCAACACCGACTGCCGCTCTCTTGCCTTTGAATGCTTCGTGGCGTGGATGAAGCAGGCCGAACGCCAGTCTGGACTGAAGCTGAAAACCTACCAGACTGACGGGGGTTTGGAATTCTTCTCAACTGAGTTCAAGGAACTCTTCAAGCAGAAGGGGATTGAGCATCTGGTGTCCCTGCCCTACGCTCATGAGCAGCAAGGCGTGGCAGAACGGACAAACAGGAGCCTTGCCACCAAGATGAGGGCTCTGATGAAGCAGTCAGCCGTCCCAACCCAGTACTGGCCATTCGCGATGAACCACGCTGTCCGACTGCACAACTTGCTGTCATCCCGAAGCCTCAAGAACAACAACTCTCCCTACAGGGCTTGGACGGGCAAAAAGGCAGACACGCGTCTGCTTCGGGTGTTCGGCTGCATGGTACAGTACAGACCACACACAGCAAGGATCGGAAAATTTGCTGACTGAGCTGGGGCATCCACCTCGGAATCGAAAAGGAATACAAGGCGTGGATCGTGCTGGACTACGCGACACACGAAGTCACAAAATCACGTGACTGCATCTTCTACGAGAAGCTGACAATGCCACTGTTCAAGGA